AAAATTAAATACTATATATATATATATATATATATATATATATATATATATATATACCTTCATTTAAATAAATTTCGATATTATCACTATATATTTCTATGATTTCTGTTAACAAAATATAATCTTCAATTTATAATTGTTACTATTGTTATTATATTAGGACTATTTTTATAATTATATGTTTTTGATATTAAATTTGCTTAATATATGTATTTTTATATTTATAAAATAAAAAACTTTCATTTAGAAGATTATTAAAATAAATAATAGAATTATGGTTAATCTTTTTATGTTTAATGCTTTTTTTAACAATATTGCATAATATTTCCTTTTGATATATTTTTTATTATTATTAAAAAAAATGTTTATTTTCATTTTGAATTTATGTTTTTTTATTTATGTAAAAAAAAAAAAAATATATTTACGTTTTTATTTGCACTTTATTCCATTTTTTATTTGATTTTTTATATATAATATTTATTTTAATTTTTTTAATTATATATCTGATCTTAAAAGAATAATATTACTTTTTGAAATTAATAGAAATAAAAAAATATTTAAATATAAATAAATAAATAATTAAATATAAAGTTAAAATATTATTTTGTAAGATAAAATGATTAAAATTAAATAAAAATATATAAAAAAAATTTCATGTCTTTTTTTTTTCTTTCTTTCTTTTAAATATATATATATTATTTAAAAAAAAAAAAAAAAAAAATTTTTTTTTTTTTTTTTTTTCTCCTTTCATTTTCCAGCAATTTGCCAATTATGTAACATTATTTTTTATAAAGCTAAAAGTGCATTTTCTCTTACACTTTAATCCTCATGTCTTGCTTTAATCATAATTAAATTTTTGCCTCCTAATTTTTCAATTACACTATTAATATTATTAAAATTAATTAATATTAAAAATAAAATAGTACTTTCTTCCGAAAGGATGGAATCTACAAAATTCACCTATATCATAACATGCAATAGCTACATTTTTAGAAACATCACTATTTAATAAAGCCACTAATTTTTTAATCAATTCTATAAATATATTATTTTTATTTAAATATATATATATATATATATATATATATTTAATTAATACAGTAATCGTTATCATCGAATTTTTTAACGTTTTCTTTCCAAAACTTTTCAGTATGTACAGGATTCCATTCTAAATTTTAAAGATTCAATTCTTTAACATATTTTTCAAAAGAACTATATGTTTAAATATATATATATATAATTATATAATGATACTAAAATATACGTTAAAATTCTAATATTCTTTTCTAAAACTTCTCCCAATTATTAAATATCATTAACTAATTCTTTTTCTTTAATATTTCCTTTTAGTAAAGTTTCACAAACTTTCAGTAAGTCTTTATCAACCATTAGTTCGATACATTATTAAGAAAACGATGCTAAATTCTAAAATAAAATAAATATATATATGCTATTTAATATTAAACGTTATTATTAATTACTTTATAACATTAAAAAGCAATTCTAATTAGTTTTTCTCTAGAAATTTTTTAAATAACATCAATAGACATTTTAATTAATTAAAGCTTTTTTAATAAATTAATTAAAAATAATATAAAAAAATACAGAAGGATCAATAAAACATTCAACAGATTTTTCACTAAAAGAAATAAGCCATAAAACTAATAAAGTATAATACATTTTTAAAGATCAGAAGAATGTTTTTCATAATATCATAAATTCTATGGTAAATATAATAATAATAAAATATATATATATATATATATATATATATATATATATATATATATATACTTATAAATATATATATATATATATTTAAAATTTATATTAAGTATATATCATTTACAATTTGGCTCCTTTGTTTTCTAAAAAAACGCGCACTAGGTGTTCATGTTTAAGTAAAAGAGATAAACATGTTATAAAACAGAAATCATCTAAACGTGCATTATTAGAAATTTATCTTTTTCTATAAAATAAAATATATGAAATGTAATTAATAAAAATATAAATTATACTCTGAAATATTAATTAATTAAAGTAAGAAATCTTTTTATTTTTAATAGTAATTTTTCTTATCTAATTCAGCTAAAATTTAAGATCTTATTCTAGCAGCTGACTCATATACAGTAATATCATAGTCATCTGAAATAATAATTAAATTTAATACACTTAACCAGTTTTTTTCTTATGGTTAATCCTCTAGGGTTTATATGATATTTTTTTAAGTTATTTCTATCATCATTTTTATTTTTGTTTATATTTATAAAAAATAAATATTTTTTTCTCTTTCTTTTAAATGAAAATTACCAAATATTATTCCATCTATTGTTGGAAGAACATATGTCATTAATATTCTATCATGATTAGCTTAAGAAATCATATCAAAAAGCATACGAATATAAGCTATTCCTTCATTTTTAGTTATTAATTCTCTCTACATATCAATATTGCCATCAAATAATTTTCTAAAAAGTGTCTAGGTTTCAGTACTTAGTAATTAACTATGCTCTGTTAATGAAAAACCAAGGTTTGCTCTTTATTCTATGTCTTTTAAAAAATCTTCTCTGTCATAAAAAACTAAGGAGTAATTAAAATATCTTCTGATTGACATTTTTATTTTAAATAATAAAATTTATATTTTTATTAAAGGAAAAATAAATTAAATTTTTTATTTTTATTGAATATTACAAAGATTTTTTTATTTTTATTTATTTATTTTTTATTTAAAAGAAAATAATAATAACTAATTTTTATTTATATATTTATTTTTAAAATACATATAAAAAATTATTTTAATATTTTAATAATTCAAAATATATATTTATATATTTTATTTTCAAAAAAAAATACAAAACAAAAAACAATATGAGAAATCGTACATTAAGTTAATAAGATAATAAATAAAAAATAAAATCAGTACAATAAATATTACACGAAACATATAGAATGAATTCTCTTTAAAATAATATTAAATATTAAAAAAATTACTAAAAAATATACTTGTAAAATAAAAAAACTGAAAAAAAACTACCAAAAAATATAAATATAACATATAGTACAAATTAAATAGAAAATATATATAAAGAAGATAAAGAAAATAAATATTCTTATAATTAAAAAAGTTTATAATCTAAAAATAATATTTAAAAAATATAAAAATAAAAATCAAATAACTAAAATATTTTTAATTATGAATTAAATAATAAATAGAAATGTAATAAAAATATTAATTAGTATTTTTTTGAATAATTTAAAACTAAATTAGATTAAAACATACATAAATAAATGGAATAATATGAATAATAATATCAAAAATCATAACAAAAATAAAAGCAATAATAATAATAATAATAATAATAATAATAATAATAACAATAACAATAACAATAACAATAACAATAACAATAACAATAACAATAACAATAACAATAACAATAACAATAACAATAACAATAACAATAACAATAACAATAACAATAACAATAACAATAACAATAACAATAACAATAACAATAACAATAACAATAACAATAACAATAACAATAACAATAACAATAACAATAACAATAACAATAACAATAACAATAACAATAACAATAACAATAACAATAACAATAACAATAACAATTATATTAATAAAATATATTAAATTAGAAAGAAATTTCTTAAATTGAACATTTAAGAGAAGTCGTTCATTAATTATAAATTAAGGATGCTTCATATCGTCTTGAAATTTCAAAACTCAAAAAATAAATCTGTGAAATTTTATCTTAATCAAATTAGTATATGGCTTTAATCAATTAAAATGAAATTAAAATGAAAAAAGTATTTTTTTAAAAAAATTAAATTAATTATAATAGGATAATGATTATATAAAATAGTTAGATAAATAAATAAGTATATTACAAAATAAATATATTTTATCATAAAAATAAAATCAATAATAAATATGTAAAAATAATAGTATTTATTTATATATATATAATAATATAACTATTATAAAGTAATTTTAAACCAAAAACTAGAAGAAAGTTAATAAAAATATAAATTTATAAAAGAATAGAATATATAACTATAAAAAAATTTAAATTAAATGTTTATTATATAGGAAGAATTAGTAAATAAAATCGAGAATACATAATAATATTAATAATTTAATAACGAAAATGATTATATGCCAAATAAATAAGACATAATAAAAGAAGAAGATGATGAATATTCAGATAGAAGTGGTTTAAATAATGTTTCTTAAGCTAGAAATATTAGTTTAAATTTGTAAGAATTATTATAGGAATAAATGATAAAAAAAAATATCGTTTAAGAAATATCTTCTTAAGAATAAAAATAAAAGAATTCAATAAATAATGTTAATGTCACGTTAAATAATACAATAAATAGCATAAATTCTTTAAGAGAAAATAATAAAAATGATGAAGTTGTTATATAAAATAGTGAGATAAATGAAGATAATTTAAGTGATTCTTAAAGCTATTTTAAAGAAAATTAATTTATATAAAATAAATAAATACTTTCAATGAATAAAGACTTTGATTAAGATTATGAATACGAGATTGATTAAAATGTTTTAATTTTATATATATTTATATATTTTTATTATTTTTATATTTAATAAGAATTATTAAGATGAATTAACAGAACAAAAAACTAATGAAATTATAAACATGAAAAGATAGAATATGTAGAAATATATTAATTATAATGAGTAAACAAATATTAAGATATATAGAAATATATTTATATATATAAATATATATATTAATATATTTTTTATTATATATTATTTTAATTAAAAATTATATTTTTATATATTTATTTAAAGATATTTATATTATATTTATGCTTTTTTATTTTAAATAAAAGATTTATGGAGAGATCTATTTGATATTTTAAATTAATACAAAATGATTAAAAAAATATAGGTATATAAATAAAATAAAATTAAATAAAATTTATATGAAAAAATAAAATGTATATTATCATACTTATTTTTTATAATATATATATATATATATATTTGTTTACAAATAAAATATTTAATGAAAATAAAAAGTGTATTTAATCTTTTATAATATTAAATAATCTAAATTATATTAAAAATCAATATTATAATCATAAATATAAACAAAACTCTATTATAATGCCGCTTTAGCTCAGTGGTTAGAGCATTCGCCTAGTAAGCGAAAGGCCGACGGATCAATCCCGTCAAGTGGCTTTTTTTTATAAGAAAAAAATATATTTTTTTATCAAAAAAGAAAAAAAAAAAGTATTTATAATTAATATAATTTTTTTTTTTTTTTAATAAACAAAATAATTGTATTATTTCATAAAAAAAAAATCCATTATAATATTAATAATACATTTAAAATTTTTAAATTATATATTCAATAAAATAAAAAATGAATAAAAATAAAAGTAGTAATAATTAAAAAAGCAAACAAATTACATAATAATAGATTGAAGATGAAAATAATTAAAAAATATAAACTAACTAAAATATGTTAAATAACTAAAATATGCCTAATCAAAATAAAAATTCAAATATTAATTAGAATAAAAATGATTAATTTAAAAAACCATAATCAGAAGAAAAATCTTAAAAAATATAAATGAATTAACCTCAAAATATATCTAACCAAAATTAGTAAATAAAACCTATTTTAATATCACAAAAAGCAGGAGTAATAAATAAAAAAAAAATATTAAAAAAGACATATATGTATAAATATATATATATTTTCTTTTTTTATATATATATATAAATATAGGACGGATTATGGTGTTAAGTACGAGAAGAATAATATAATTAAATTGCTGAAAAGATAGTTTAGAAAAAAGAAAAATAGTACACATCTAAAATAGAAAATGAAATATTATAAACTTTAGAAAAATAATGTTCAGAATTAGGATAAAAATTAGAAAAATAAATTGTAATAGTGTAATAAAGAAATATAGAAATAACTTAAATGAAAAAAATAATAGATAATTAAAACATTGTAAAACATTATAAAATTTATAATAAAATATGTATATATAAATTTAAATTATATATATATATAATAATTATAGTAAATATAAGAATAAATGAATGAAATAATGAGTTTAAGAAATTAAAAAAAAACTTTGAATAATAATTAGATAAAACAAGAGAATAATATAATTTTTTAAAAAAAGATATGGGAAAAGTATAAAATGATTAGTTTTATGAAATAAAAAAAACAACAGATTTAAAAGAAATTTATATATAATTATAGAATTAATTTGATAGTTATAAATAATAAATGAATTTATGTGTTAAAAATCTAGAATAAAAACTTGAAGAATGTCAAGAGGAAAACGAAGATTTAAAATCTAAAATTCAAACAAAAGAATTAATTAGTAAAAAGATAGATGATGAAAGTAATTAAATAAATATTAATAAATATATATATATAAATAAAAATATGAATTTAATTATGTATATATAGATATTTAATTTATATATATTTATATATATATTATTTTTTATATATTAATATATCTTTAGGAAGAAAAATATTAGAATAAAAAGAACAATAAAATATTACTGAAATTGAAAAAAAAACAGACAAAATAGCTAAATTATAAGAAGAAAACGCCATATTAAATGATAAATTTTCCGAATCTGAAATTACTAGAAAGAAATTCAAAGAAAAAAATACTTAACTTGAGAAACAATTGAAAGTTGTTTTATAAGAAAAAGAAAAGATAGAAAACGAATATTTAAAAATGAAAAAAAGAGTTAATGATTTGAGTGTTTTAAAAACCTCAAACAATAAAATTTTAGAAGATAAAATTAAGTCCTTATCATTAGAAAATGATAAGTTAATGAAGTTAATAAAAGTTAAAAAAAATAATTAAAATTAAATAGATTATAATATTTAATAAGACGATAATTAAGAAAATGAATATAATGAAGAATTGGAAGAAGTTTAGGCTAAACCATATCTTTTTGGGCCTATTGATAACGGAAAATACTGATTTTTTTGGAATATTTTTATTTTGACCTATTAATATATATTATTATATTAAATAAAGGTTTTATATTTTGTTTATATATCATTTATTTTTAATTAATTAAATTTATTTTTTTGAGTTTATTAACTTAATTTGTTTTTTTTTTTGTTTCAAATAAAAGATTAAAATATCATTTAATAAACATATTTTTTTTTTTTTTTATAAAAGAAAATTTAAAATAATTTTTTTTTAAAAAAAAAAGCATTTATGAATAAAATATTAAATAAGAATTTTTAAAAGAAAATATCTTAGATAAAGGATATGATCCTGAAGATTTCCAAATATTTTGCGAAAAAGAATTGAATAATACAAGTTTAGATATAGACGAAATAAATTACAGTACATTATCAATTTTAGTGAATAATTTCCAAAAATAAAATACTTTAGTTAATATAAAATCTATAATTGGTCAAGCATTAAATAATAAGAATGGAGAAATCCAAAAAAAACAAGAATAAGAGACAGATAATTTATAAATATAATAAAATAATATGATAATAGATAATATATCAAGAATAGAATTAAATTAATAGTCATTTATGGAAACTGAGCGTGTAAAAATATATATGTAAAATAATAAAAAATACTTTAATAATAAAACTAAATAAATATAAAAAATATAAAAAAATAGTCTTTTAGTATAAATGAAATATTTAAATATTTTGAATGTAATTCTCCTAAAAATAACTTCGAATAATAAATTATAAAGTGCAAATATTTAGAATTAAATAAAATAGGCTAGTTTATGTAAGAATTCCCTTAAAAAATACCAAAAATTGAAATAAAAAACTACAAAATAATATAGGAAGGGATATTAAATCAAAAATGTTTAGTTTTCGAAATTTTCGTTTCTGAATTAGAATGGATTTCATTAAGAAAATTTTCCGATTTCTAAAATTTAAGAAATAATCTAGGTTTATATTTTCCAGGCTATTTTATACCTCCATTGCCTGCTTTGAAAAAAAAAAAAGGAGAATAATATATACTGAAACTTAAAAAAAATCTAGAATAGTTTTTAGAAAATATATTAGAAAATGAAGTTTTGAGAAATTCTAAGCTGTTTTAAGATTTTGTATTTATTTATAAAGAAGATAAATATAGGAATACATTAACTTAAAATATTGAAAGTCCGGAAAAAATATATGATTTTTATTCACTAGATGGCAAAATTAATTACCAAAATTGTATTTAAATGGTTAATTATGGGACGACTTTAACCTCTTATATTGAATAAACTTCGATTATGTTTTAGAAAGGAAAAGCTTTGTTGAAATTAATTATTAAAGATATGTAGAATGTTGAAAAAAATACAAAATTATTAAGTAATGTATATAAGAACTTATAGAAAATTTAAGTTGAATTTAATAATAAAAATATGATTGGAAAAAATTAGTATTTGTAAAGTATTTATGAAAAAATACATATTTATTTAAATGAATTAGCGAATTTTTACAAATAATAAATAAACTTTTATAAAGTAGATTTTAAATAGAATATTAATTATGATAAAAACATAAATATTGTCTTTGAAGAACTTTGTAAATAAAGAAATAAATTTATGAAAGAATGCAAAAATGCAAATGATAAGAATTATTTTAAAAATATAATAGAAGATAAGATTTTTTTAAAAAATACTATGAATAATTTAGGGAATAATTATTAATTATTAGTGGCTAAAACTAATTTTTTTAATTAAAATTTGTTCTATGAAGCTAGGAAACATCTAAAAATTAGAGAAATAAAAAATTCGACTGATTTCTATAATTCTGGGTTTATTAATAAAGGGATTATTTAGGGATTTTTATCAAAACATGAGACTTTATTGTAATAATTATAAGATATTTAGATTAAAAGTTAGGAAAATTTACAAAAAGAATTGGAAGAAGAATAAAAAATTATTAAATAATAAGTTACTAATAATTTTGTTTCTGAAAATAAAGTTTTATATAAAAAAGTTTTATTTTGATTTTATTTTAATGAGAAAAGGGTGGAGATATATATAATTTATTTAAAAATAAAATAAAAAATAATTTATTTATTTTTTAAAATTATATATTTTTTTTTAATTATATTTGTCTATAAAATAAATCAAAAATATAATCTAAAAAGATGAAAAAAACTAAATATATATTTTATTTTAAAACTAATTTTCTTAAAAAATAATTATTTTCTATAAAAATTATTTAAAAAAATAAAATAAAAAAAAAGAAGTATAATATTATATTCTAATAAAATTTATTAATTAAACAAAAATGAAGAATAATTAATTATAATTTAAAAGTATATTTATTTATGAATAAGAAACCAATTTTTGGATAGAAGCAGATCCATATATTGATGAAGATTAATCTTAATTAGTGTATAAAGGAAAAATGTACTAAAATATAGAAAAAATCAAAAAAATGATTGCTTTTCATTTCGAAATATATCCAGACAAATTAATAAGAATAAACATGTCATATAATACTGAAAATTAGGAGGAAAACTATTAAGAAAATTAACAAAAAAAGATTATTTATATTTAAATAGTTGTTTTATAAAAAAAATAAAAATTCAAGAAAATACTAATAATAAATATAAATATGGAGTCCGTTTATAAAGGAATAGTCATAAATGTGAATTATTTGCTGAAACATCATATGCATTTAATAAATGGTATGATCAAATCAAAAGATATTGTATTTTATCTAAATTCGAGAAGAAATATAAGATTATTTAAAAATTAAATATATAATATTTATATAAATGTTACCGAATATGTGATTCTACTTAATATTAAGTAAAAGGAATTGACAAAGGGACAATTTCCAATAAACAAGAGAAATAAATATTGAAAGAAATTAAAGTATTGAGAAGATTAAATAGTTAATATGTGACAAAATTATATGAAGTTTATGAAAATGAGAATAATTTATTTATAGTAACTGAACTAGTGTAAGGATTAGATATGAAATAAAAATTAAGCAATGCAATGGTTTTAGATGAGAAGACTGTTTCAGATATTATATGTATGTAAAATATTAATAATAAAATTATTATATTAAATGAATATATATATATATATATGTATTACATATTTATAGGGAAATTATTAAATGCATTAGCACATATTCATTAAATGAATATTTTTCATAGAGATATTAAATTAGAAAATATATAATTTAAAAATCAAAAAGAATTAGCAGATGTTTAATTAATAAATTTCTCTACAGCGGATTTTATTAATAAAAAATCAAATAAAAATTATAAAAAATAAGGCACGGCAGGATTTATTGCCCCTGAAATTTTTAAGACTTTTTAATATAATTAAAAAGTAGATGTTTTTTCACTTGGAGTTATTTTTTATATACTTTTGTATGGAAAATTACCTTTTGATTCAAATACAGTAGAAAATATTATTAAATTAAATGAAAAATGTGAAATTAATTTCGATATAAATAAACATATTATTAAATGTTCATCTTCAGCAATGGACTTATTAAAATAAATGCTTGAAAAAGATCCATTATTAAGGTTATATTTGTATATATATTACTTTTTAGCATTTCGAATATTTCGAAATCGATTGAAAATAATATTATCTTTGTATTTCTTTATTAATAAAAGAAATATAGATACATATAATTAAATATATATTTAATTATGTATATATAAATGTTTATTTATAATATATATATACATATATATAGTTACATATATATTATATATATATATATATAATTGTATATATATATATTTATATTTAATTATATGTTTGTATATTTATTTCTTTTTATTTTTTTATTTAGACCTAATGCTTCTGTTCTTTTAAATCATACATGGTTTGTAAATATGAAAAATAAATTACCTTAAGTTTATAATACTATGACTACTATTATCGAAAGATCTTTTGAATGCGGAGATAATAGTAGAATAAGTTTTTTAATTAAAAATGGAGTTGGTGTAAATATGAATTATGATATTAATTCTGAGTCTACCACCTTTTTTGAAGAAAATTCACTTGGTGTTGAAACCTTAAATTAAAAAATGATAAATTTAAATAGTGAAATTTATTAGAAAATTCCTTCAAAAATTAAACATAAGTAAAGTTTTTGAATTTTTTTTGTATTTTTAATAATTATTATTTATATATAAATATAAATATATATATATATATAAATATTATATATATATGTATATTTTTTATTTTTTATTTTTTTGTACTTTATTTAATTTAAAAAAATTAATCTTTTGAAAAAAAAAAAATCATAAAATAAACAAACAAAAAACAACTGAAAAAAATAAATACAATAAAAAAATATCAATATAAATATAAGAAATTCATGACCTTAAAGAAGTCTCCCATTATACTGTAGAAGTAAAAGCATCTGGAGTAAGTAAATGAATATTAGCTGCGATATTTTTTTCTTTTAATTTCTAATTAAATTTCGGTAAAGCTAGATATCTATCAAATCCATCATGATATAAATTTATTTTTTCCCCTGATAATTTAGCTGTTTTTCTCATTTAAAGCTCATCTTTCAATTTAGGAAGGAATTTTGGGAATTCTTTTCGGTCTTTAAACGGAATATTATTCCATTTTCTTTCCAATTCGACTAATTTCTTATCCTTTTAAAGATCATCTCTTAAACCAGCCTCAAATTATACATAACTAGCAGAGGCAGTTGGGCCTAATCTCTTTCTTAATAAATGTTCTACTTGATTGGTATTTCCCCTATATAAAATATCTTTCATTGTATGTTTATTTTCTTAAGATTTAATTTTTTTATCTTAAAAAGTAAATTGTTAATTAGGAATTCTTGAAAGTTTTTCCCTTAATTCAGATTCTTAGTTTCTTAATTTTAAAACCCATTCTATGTCTTATTCAGTTATGTATTCTACTTTTAAAAAATGACTATATGCATTTACATTTCGGGGTATTCCTAAGATTTTTTAGTCGTCAGTTTTTTTTTGGAGGTTAGTTTTGCTTTTTTAGTTTGTTTACAATTCTTGGTGTTAGGTTTATTTTAATTTGTTTTTAAGAGATTGGTTTTGATTGGTTTGTTTATGGGAGTCTTTTTGGTTGGCCAACTTTTCTTAGGATTTTTATTATTGCGATCTTCCGTTTGTGTTTTTTAATGATTTATTTGTGTTCATATATTTTTATTTTATATTTTCTTCGTTTTTTTTTTTTTTTTTATTCTTTTTAAAAAAAAAATATTTTTCTTTTTTTTCTTTTTAAAAAACTATTATAATTATTATGATTATTATTATTAAAATTATTATTATTATTATTATTATTATTATTATTATTATTATTATTATTATTAATATTATTATTTTATAAAAAAATACTATAAAAAAGTTTATATATATATAATTATTTTTTTTAAATAATGAAATTGAAAAACATATAGAGAGAAATATAAAAAGAATAAAAACAAAAAATATAAACAACTTAAATATTTTTATTATTATTTTATTTTTGTTTTTTTATAAAAATTCCAAATTAACAAAAAAAAAATTTAATCGCTTAAAATATATTATTTATTTTATATTTTTTTTACAATCTCTAAAAAAATAAAAGAAAAAAAAAAAATATTTTTTCAAAACAAAATGAAATCAACCAAAAAGATCTCCCATATCGAAATCTTCCTCTTCTTCTTTTTTGGCTTTTTTTATTTTATTAATAAAAAATCATTTTAAAAATATTAATATTTATACGTTCTTCTTTAGGAACTTCTTTAGCAGCAGCCTTAGTAGGAGCTGTTTTTTAAGCAGTAGCTGCTGTAGCAGATCCAGAAGCAATGCCACCTCCTAATGAAGGAACTAATTTGGAAGCAGGTGTGTGTGCAAATATTCTTTAGAAAGCAGCATTTTATGTAGCATTTACTTTAAGGTTGGCTCCTTTTAATACTTTTTCAACGTTTTCGGCAGATGTGGGTAATTCTGCATCTACTAATAAAAGAGTGGCATATGCATATGCAAGTTATTCACTGTTCATTTTTTGATATTTTTTTTTTTTGATATATTTTTGTTTTATTAATTAAATATTATATATATATATTTTATTTTTAATGATTTTTTTTAATTTTTATCCTCTTTTTATTCTTATTGAAATAATAAAGTATAAAAAAAGAAAAGTATATATATATATATATATATATTTAATAAAAAAAAAAAAAAAAAAATTATTTTAAAAATATAAAAGAAAAATAATATTTTTTTTAAAAAAAAATGAACGCTGGTAGAAAAAATTAATGGAGCAAAGCCATGACTGGTTTAGTTAATGATTAAAAAGTTTTAGTCGATTAATATCTTCCAAGAAAATGTGAATGGACAAATAGAATTATTCATTCTACTGATGCATCTTCAATTTAAGTTAATGTTGCAGAAGTAAATTTATTTTTATTTTAAATTTGCAAGTTTTTATTTTAAATCTATCAAAAAAAAAATCAAGGTTGGATTAAATGGATAAATGAGTGGGAAAAAAACTTCCGTTATTTTAAGTGGATATATTAGAGCTAAAGGAGATTCTCATGTAGCTTTAGAAACTGTACTTAAAGAAAAAGGTTTATATCCTATTTAAGAATGATGTTTTTTTTTTTATTAAAAACATCTTTTCATTTTTAATTTTTAAATTAAAAAATTAATAAATTTATATAAAACAAAAAAATTATTGTGTGTATTTTTTATTTTTATAAAGTAAAATTTATTTATTTAAATTTTTTTTTTTATTTAACAATTTCGCATTTTTATATAAAATTTATATTGCTTTTAAGAATATATATATATATATATTTATAATTATTCTTGAAAATTAATATAAATAAATTTTTTTTTTTTCAAAAAATGTTATATTAAATTATTAAATTTTTACAATAAAAAATAAAAATCACTATTTATTAACATACTTGGCTAGAAAAACTTCATCAATTCCCTCATTTTAAAACTACTATAAGTATTTATTAAACTTCTTTTAATATTCTTTATAAGTTATTTATTTTTCTTTTATATCATCCTTAAGTGGATCATGGTTAGTTTTTTTAAGAAAATCATAGGCAGTATTTAAATTTTAACTATAAAAAAATTCACAGATATTCCAAAAAGCCTAATCCAATTCAAATTCGAATTATTTTTTTCTAAACTAAGGCGGATAAGGGGGTGGGTTAACCATCCAATTTTAAAATATATTAACATCATAGAAATTATTATCAATATAGTTAACGAAAAGTTCTTCCCCATCAAATATATCTCTTATTGCAAAAACACCCACTACATGTAAAAAATCTAATTTATTGAAAATTTTTTCATATTTTTAATATTTCTGTAAAATTCTATAGTACGATTTTCTTTTAAAAGGACTTTTTGCCCTAATATATGGTAAAAACTGTCTGTAATTTTCCGCAAAAAAATGTTCGGGGATAAACATATCTAAAAAAATCACATTTGGACTCGTGAATTTCGGAGGATGATTTATTTTATGCCCTAAACTATATGGATTTATAAAATGAGGCGGTATATTTTTAATATAACTATTTTCTTAGTCAGTTTTCTATTCTGACCCTAAATAAAAATCTTAAATTGATGTCCCATAAGTAAACGGATAAAGAATATCCTAATTAAAATCAACTACAATATTATCAAATCTATGAATATATTCATCAGGTTATATATAATTATTCCTTGTGCTTGAAAAGTCATTTATATCTTCATATATAACACCTCCTACAAAACCCAATAATTAACCTTAGTTTATTTTTTTTAGGCCTTTTTTGCATTCTAGAAATACACCTTCACCTGCTTAATGATGTTTTATTTAACTTTCTTTTATTTTTAATTCAAAGCCTAAATTTTATTTTATTTTGCTTTATATTTCAGTATTTTTATACTCCCAAATGCTTATAAGGTCGTTTTAGTCGTCTGTTTCAATTAATGAAAATATTGGAAATTTGTCGGGGTCGATTAGGGAGGTTATATTTGATTTTTATTCCAGTTTTTTATTTAATATTATGTCTGATTCCTCTAATGAATACTTTTTTAATGTATTTAATATGTTGTATATTTACTCTAAATGATCCCCGTTTGAAAATTCGATTTATTAATTTATTGATAAACTATTTGTGAATCTATATGCTTCATCTAATGGTTCGGTATGACCTTATAATATATTGGAACGAGTACGGGTTAATAAGGCAGATATATATGATTGTTCTTCCCATTTATATAGGGAATATTTTTTACGGAGAAGGACTAATAATGGGTTTTGTTTTGTGTATAAAAAACGGAACATTTTTTTATTTTATTTTTAAAATAATTTTTTTAGGCCTTTAATTATTTTTATTTTTAATTAAAGATTTTTTATTTTTATTTTTTATTCAAAAAAATAAATGAATATACGGATTTTTTTTTATTTTTTATTAATATGTTTTTTAATAATGTTTTTTAAATAAATAAAGAAATATTTCTTTGTTTATATTTATTTTTATTTTATTATTTTATCATATTAAATAATATATAAAAATATTTTATTTAATTAAAAATAGCGAAAGTAAAGATTTTTAATGCGGTATAATAATAATATTTATTATAATTTATATAATATTAATTTTTACTTATTTTTATCAAATAATATATAAATAAAATTAAAATCTTTTTTTAAAAAAGTATAAAAGTAAGTTCTTTTATATTTTTAGAAATATTTAATGAACTTTATTCTTATTTTATTTTAATTCTATTTCTATTTTTTTTTTTTTGATAATGATAAAATAAATAAAAAGTACAACAAAAACATATATAATTAATCATTATATTAATACCAAAGAAACACTATCATAAAAAAAAAAAATTAATAAAATAAAATAGAATAGAATAGAATAAATTGATATAAAAAAAATGAGCACAAATTTAAAATATTTAAAATAAAAAAGTAATTATATATATAAAATTTACAATAATAATTATTAAGGTTAAATTTAAAATTTTATTTATTTATAATGTATTATAAAATCTATTTCATATTATATATTAAATTATCGTTTTTTTATTTTTAATATTTATTATAAATAAAAACATTAATTAATATTAATTTTTGTTATAATACTATGTTTTTATTATTACATATAAATTTACCCATACACTTTACAAAATATAAAAGCTTTAATATATTTTACTATTAATAAAATAAAAAAAGGTCATGTATTTTATAATAAATTTATATTCTATTATAATTTTATTCTATTATAAATTATAGTATTTAACTCAATATCTTTATAATTAATCTTCAATAGACGCACTTATTAACGAAATTTATATTCCTTCTTAATTTCTGAAATATATAATTAATCTATATTTCTCATTCATTTTTAATTGATATTATTCATTGTCCAAAGCATTAATATTTTCCATATTAGGGTAATCAGCGAAACTTAAATAATCTTCTTATACATTCACTTATACTACCATCTAACTGTTTTTGGTAAAATATTATTTAATATTAACTCCTTTGATTATCTTTTCACAAAAACTCTCATTCTAAAATTTACCGAGCTATATGGCATAAAAATACTATCTATCATACCAATTAATATCTTTATTACAATCTTCTGTCAATCCAATAATAATACATTCTAAAGGACTTTAACTAAACTGAAATACAAATTTGTAACTCTTATTATTTTCAAGAATTAAGTTTGAATATATTTAACCTCTTCCAACAAAATTTGCTGTGAAATTCTCGTATCCATATATATTTTTTTAAATATCAATCAAATGTGATTTTTCATAAGTACTTTTTACAAAATATAAGTCATCTATTCTTTTACTTTATTTTATTTTTATTAAATAATAAATAATAAAAAAAATATACATTTATTATCCTAGTTATAACTAATTTAAATCCTTTATTATTTTTCCTTGAATTTTTTAAAAGACGGATTTCTAAAAGCACGGGATTTTTGTATTAATAAAATTTATTTTGTCCATAATTATTTTATTATTATATTCGTATTCTAAATATTATTAGTTTATATACTCATCTAATTTCTAATTTATTGTCTAATAATTATATATATTATTCTAAATAATATTATAAAACTCCTTGTAATGCGAAAAACTAGAATACTCGTCTTATAACTCTTAATAACATTTCATAGTTTCTAGAGCTTATTGTATTGTTACTTTTTTATTTCTTAAATTTTCTATATTACTTATGATATTAACTCTTGAAAATTCTCTTCTACTATTTCTATTAAATTCTCTATATTTATATCGTTTTGAATGTTTTACATCTTTTCGCGAATAGTTGGGTCTATTATTGGCCAATATAATTGCTAAAATTTGCTTTATTCGCATTCCCCTTCTTAATTGTTTTGAGAAAAAATTATTGATAAAGGTATAGATTGTGTTTGTTGAGATTATATTACACATATATAACATTGAAGTCTTTCTTAATTTTCGCATTCTTCACCTACATATATCCCTTAAATTTAATTATTTTTATGCTTTAGACATTCGTTTAAACAGGAAGTGTTTGAAATGATGTTCATATAATTTTTAATTTTTTTTTATTGGTATATATTATATATTTAAATACTTATTTTTTGTTTTATAGAAAAATAATAAAAATATAAAAAATTTTATTTTAAATTATTTATATTTGTATTTTTTAAAACCCAAAAAAATAAAAAAAGATTTTGATAAAATTATTTTATTAAAATATATTTTTTTCTTTTTTTTTTTATTTTATTTTTAAAGTGTTGTTTTGGTTTTTTTTTTTTAAAAAAAATAATTATAAATTATTTTTATTTTTTTACACAAAAAATGAATTATTAATTTTTTTATATAAAAAAAATGAATTATTGATTTTTTTATTTTTTAATTTTTATAATATATAAAATTATTTTATTTTTAATGAACTTTATCTATATAAGTTATAAATTTGTTATATAAAATACCACTTTTACTTATTACTATAGTAAAATATGATATTTATAATTACAAATAAAGATACTTTATAAATATAAAAAAATTAGCAAAATAAATTTAGATCTTTTTCACTATTACTGAAAAAAAATAAAAAATAAAAAATATAATATGAGATTTTACTATTATAAAAATATTTATTTTTATATACTTATAAAAAATAATAATAATAAAAAAAATATATATATATAAAAAAAAAAAAAAACTAATAAAAAATGAAATTAGATTAAAGTCTTAAATAAAAAAAAAAATATACAAAAATAACAAAAAAAATAGCTCAAACTTTCCTTAATAAAATAATCTTTGAGAATAAATCTATAAAATAAAGTGCTTTAGAAGTCAATATAAATTATTCTTCAGCGAAATGTATTCTAAGTACACACAGAAAAAAACAGAAAACTATTTAGAACTCTTATTAATCTTCGAATTCGAATATTTCTTAATGCTCATAAGATTTAAAAAAATGTGGGTATACTAAGCTAAACTAAGCAGGTAAATTATCTAATATTGAAATAGCATACTCTGTTGGTGGAAACCCAATAGAAAATAATAATAATAATATTAAAATTAATTATAATAATAATAATATTAATAATAATAATTTTTAAATTATTAATAATTTTAATTTTAAAAAATAATAATGCTTAAATAATATACAATTTAATAATATTTTTGATTCTTTTTAAAATTAAAATTAAGGCTTTAATCGAAACTATGATATTTGTCCGAAAAGATAATAATAAGGGTTTTTTT